AAACAGACTCCAGAAAGGTGTTATGGTCTCCTAGCTCCTCAAATAAGCCTTTCCCAGTTTTATCTCAGGTCTCTGCACCTGCTAGGCCCTCTTCGGAATGTTCTTTTTTTACTCTAACAGGTAGATCCCTGTCATCTTTTAGGTTTGAGCTCAAATATCACTACCTCTGAAAGACCAGCCCCAACCTATAAAACCATGCTCTCTTCAAAAAATACAAAGAAATATTTTCTTTTATCCTTTTGCATTTTTATCTGTCAATATTTTACTTATTTGTGGCACATGCAACATGTTCTTTGCTGTAACACCTGCATCTGCACTAGTGCTGGACTTACAGCAAGCACCAAATCTAAGCCAATCTTTGTTACTAAGTACTGGGAATACAGCAGTAAGTGGGACGGACAGACCTTTCTTCCCTACTGGAGCTAATATTCTACTGGTAATTTAAATAATAAAGTAAACAACAATTCAGAGGTGACAAAGTGCTGCAGAAAACAACAAAGTATAGAAAAAAGAAAAATATTAAGTCAGAAAGATCTCACTTAAAAGATCTCACTCACTTGAGAGGCTAAGACAGGAGGATCACTGTGAATTTGAGATCAGCCTGGGCTACAAAGTGAGTTCAAGACCAACCTGAACTGCAAAGCAAAACCCTGTCTTTAAAGACAAAAATAAAAAATTAAAAATAAATAAATAAATAAAAAGGGATAATATGTGCATGACTAACATGCATAAGGCCCTAGCACTGACCAAAAAGTCTTACTGGCTCCAAGTTCTTAAGAAGCTAGGGCAACCAGTATTCCAAATACAGAAACAGAAGTGCCAAGACAATGTGTGTGCAGTATCCTGAACATATTTGGGGAAGAACAAGAACAATATCTCTATGTTTAGAACAGAAAATACAAAAGAGAAAGCAGTAAAATATAAAGAAGGTTGCTATACCACAATTATCTGAGTTAGATACTATGTTATTTTAGTAGACAGAATAGACATATCAGACTCCAAAAATATTTTGAAGATACAGTCTGTAAGATTTTCTGACATTTTCAAAGATAACTAAATGTGCTGATCTCAGCAACTAGAAGAGCTCAATGTTCTCTACAGATACTAATAATAATACTGCAAATGTAGCAGGGCAGTAGTATATCAAAAAGTCAGTAGCCACATAAAATGTGACCAAGTCTGTTTAACTAGTTGTTAAACACTTACTTAGTGGTAATGTGAAATATGTACTTGGATATGAACACAGAAGCCTAGGTGGAAGATAAAATTTTAGGAGTTACTGGATGCATGTCCATATGTATGTATATTATGTTTATTTGGAACAGAATAAAATGACCAAATTGTAAGAGAATGAGAAACACAGTTTGAGTCTCAATATATGACATTAAAAGATTAGAAAGAATAAGAAGATGCTGTAGAAAAGAATTAACCAGTGAGACTAAAAATAAATCAGTTATGAGATTAAAAAAGCAAAATAACATGTTTTCAGAATAAAAGATTGATCAACTTTGTCAAGTAAGAAGATGACAGGTAACTGATCGCTGGATTTAATTTCAAGATGATTGGTGACATTCATTTACAATAATGTGGAGTGTGTGGAATTAATAGTGGAGAAAGTGGAACAGGATGGATTTAACAGAAAATAAATTCAGCAACTGTGTAGACAACTTTTTCAAGGGGTTGTGCAATAAAAGATTGAAATTAGAGGAACCAAAGTGAGGTGATTTTATTTTTTATTTTTTACAAATAGAAGAATTTACAGTATGACTGAATGCCTAAGAAAATTATCTAGTTAGAGTGATCCAGGTAAAACTGAAGAGGAAAGGAAAGAAAATAGCACTTGCCACAAAATGCCATGTCTTCAGTAGAAGGAATGGAATTTACTCAGTGAACTGGAGTTAAACTTAGGCAGTAGCACAAAAAATACATCACTAATAAGGGTGTATCAAGATTGTGGGTATATGTGACTATGAGACCATATGACTATAAGAGTTTGTGTAATCAAATGCCTGATTAAAACTACTATGAGGGGGCTGGGGATTTAGCTCAGCGGCATAAGCGCCAGCCTTGCAAGCAGGCAGTCGTGAGTTTGATCCCGGGTACCAATAAAAAGGAAAAAGACAAAAAAAAAAAAAAGACTACTACAGAGGCTGGCAAACTAATACCATTAGGCCAAATCTAGCCTGTTACCTCTTTTCATAAATTAAATTTCACTGGAAAACAGCCACATTCATTCATTTACTTATACCCTATGGACTTTAAGCACTCTGAAGGCTAAAGGAGATTAAAGAATGCCTCTTACCCTTATTACTAAAATGTTAAACAAAACGTTCTCAAAATATTTGTTGATCCATATAAACTAAATATATAAAAGTGTGCAATATTAAATAAAGTCTCCATCAACTTAGTAAATATAATCCTTGACTATCTTGGCAGCTGCATATACTTATATATTCAATAATATTTGTAGGTTGAATGAAGAAAGGACTGAATACATGTATGAATTATGAATAAATGAAAAGCATTTATTATAACAGGATAAGAAGAAACTATAGAAAAACGTGAATAATTACCTTAAAGCACTACATCTTAAATTCACAAGGGCCAATCATCCAAACACTTTCTGATGTAATTCAATTTGAACTAATTTATACATAGAATTTTAGCCCAAGGGACTACAGAGAACAACAAGATAGTTCCCAGAACCAAAAGAAAACCATAGGTGTAACATCCCATGCTTTTTTTTTTTTTTTTTTTTTTTTTTTTTCCTGTTAGCTGGTTCTAAACATCCCATGCTTCTTGAGACTAAAACTGTTATTCTCCCACCTTCCTCTATTCTCTGCGTGGCTTCACTTTTTCCCTCTAATGATGGTATTTTTATATATATGGGAAAGAAAATCACTGGCTCCCTCTCAGAGTAACTACTTCAGAAAAAAGGAAGCACCCATAGTTCAATTTCAAAGGATTTGGATTATCTGTGCTTGAGTAACACGTAATTACTATTCCAAAGGAATGACCAGACCTGGGTTACTACAATACTGACAGCCCGCCAACTTTTCTGACTAGAGAAGACAACCTCCCCAAATGAAAGACACTGAGTTGGTAAAAATAGTGTGTATGTCTTCTAGTACCATCTACAACGTGATTTTAGATATAAATTGATGATGATCTTGTTTATTTTTTTCAAAAGAAAATGATTTTTAATGGTACATTTTAGGTATACATAACGATCACATTCATCACAGCGAATTTGTACGTGTTCGTGAAATAACTTGATCCATTTTTTTTCCATTCCCCTATCCTACCTTCAGCAGTTCTTCTCCTTATTTACAAAAGCATTGTTTCTATTTTTTCCTTTTCTCTCTCTTTTTTTTTTTTGCTTTTCCTTTCTCTTCCCCTCTCTTGTTCCCTTTCCCACTTGAAAATTTTGATGATCTTACACTTCCAAATTATTTAACTTTAAGCCAATTCTTGCTTTTAATTATTACTAAATCTTGAAATGAGAATCCTTAAAATAATTCCATTCAAAGCTTTCACTAACACAATTTCATTCTAATATTCTGACACATTTATGCAACCAAATCGATCACAACATCAAATTTTTACTCACACTTTGTTCACAAAATTTGCAAGATAAAAAATTCTGAATTATTTGGTAATTCACCATATGGCAGTCTCTTACTACTTCATTGTATCTGAAGCTTTCAATCTTCATTGTGTTACTTTTTCTGATCAGTTTCAATTAAACATGGTATAAAAAACTCATACTACCAAGTGTTACTTTCTCTAATCAGGAACAGTACCCATGTTAATCTCTTGGCAAGAAGTCAAACATACATTATATAGAAAGAAATTACTCAAGTAAGTAATACAAAGGATAACCTGATAACTCAGCTTTGTTGCTCTCTACGCAACCCAGTTGCCAGATATCAATTTCTGATAAAAGAAAAACTACATACCCTTAAGAAAAAATGACTCTATTAAGAAAGCTACCTACTGGTAATGTTTAGGGAAGAACATGAGATGATTACCAAAGTAATCATGTAAGGTCATATAATTTACTTTATTTCAGCATTTACCTATATAATTGTTAATACATGGTTATACTAATGCGTACAATTAACTGCATTTGGTGATGGAGATACTAAGGTATCCAAGAATTTTGGGATACCAAACATTCCAGGCCATATCTAACAAAAACAACAAGGAACTTCTGTGTGTCAATAGTAAATAAACCATGTTTTTGTACAGCGTATAGTATCTTTCCTTGGTTTTCTTTATGATACTACGGATCTATTGGCAGATTTTGCCCTTCTTTTTGTCTACCCAATGTTTAGAAGATCGTTTCTAGGAAATAGTCCTAACTCTATAATGACTCCTAAATCTCTTTCCTGGCTGATAATGTAACTACTACTAATCACAACATAAATACATAATAATTTTTCTTTAGACAAACACTTGCTATACCAAAACACAGTCAATGTTCTGGACCATCTAATACTTTTTTTTTTGTCTTTTTGAGAAAAGGTCTCACTATGCAGTTTAAGCCAGTCTTGAACTCACTTTGTAGCCCAGGCTAGCCTCAAACTTACAAAGATCCTCCTGCTTCAGCTTCCCAAGTGCTGGGATTACAGGAATGTGCCACCATGCCTGGCCATCTGTACATCTTTGAAGCACGTTTCAAACTTATTTATCTCCTGTGTTCATTACTCCTAGAAGTAATGCTTTCTTAGAAGCCATGAATGCTTCCTTTATATTTAACAGAATGACACAGATAAAATTTATCTTTAGATGTTAGTCTATAAAACAAAAAATTATTTTTGCAGACATTAAAATGAAAATCTATATATATATATGTATTTTACCTTAGCCCAAAATAAAACTTACAACTTATTTTCACTCATGTATATACAACTGTTTTAGTTTATTTAATCCAATATTAAAACATATGAACTTACTACTTAAGAGTATATATTCCAGTACTTCAATCACGACCTTACCTCTTTCTTCAAGGAACAAAAGGCACGATTTAATAGTTGAACAATGTCACAATCAGGAACAGTGATCATAAAAGATAGTATCTGGAAATGAACACCAAGATTTCAAAACTCTGAAAAAACTGTCAGCAAAATATTTTTGAACTCTTGATCCAATTATAATTCATACTCAACTTAGCTGTATAATTTTAAAAAACACTTCTCTGTGTTTAAGCATGCAACATATCACTGATATTGAGTAATAAAACATCACCACTTGAAGTTTCGAATTACTCTAATATTTTTAATATAAGATAAAGAAGTCTTGCTCAAAAAAAATCACAAATTTAGAACTAGTATATGTACCTGATTCATTACCTTACCATTGCAATGCTAACACTTAATAATTCTCTTTTCTAGAATCTAATATCTATCCTATAAAAATTGCTCACCATGTGAACCCTATGCATAGACTACACACACCTCAGATTAGGCAATAAAAATTCAAGAATATAAAAACCCTTTTCTTTTGCTTATAGTAAGTTGTCAAATATCTTTTGCAGAGTAACTGGAAGGAACCTGGACAAAATTCAAGCTTTCTTAAAAGCTTAAGAAAAAAAGAAAACTAAATGCTACATCAACAAGATCCATTTCAAACAACTACAAACAGAAAACGTACTAAAAGGGCATTTTAAGGTATATTTTGAAGTAGAGCTACATATCAAGGCTAAAATACTCCTTTTGTAACATTTCAAAATAAACTGAAATAACAGTACAGTACAGAATGTGAAGTAGGACAACAGCTAAAACCTACCGAGCATTTAAATATTCATATATTATCAATGCACACAGTGGGTATTCATTCAGATTGCTGTCCTTTAGCGTTTCACAAAACCAGATATGCAATGTTTTGAAGTGGTAAACATAATCTTAGTGAAAACAATTATGGTTTATATTTACCTTCCCTGTGAAATACTAACACCCCAAACATGTCCGTACAATGCCATGTCTTTGTGAATTCCAGAAAAATACAGACTTGCTGAAAAATTATGAGTAAATTTTCATAGATTTGCAGTGAAGACTCTGAAAATGTTAGTAAATTTCAGTGAGTCAGCTGAAATGGTTTTCTATTCAGGAACCTTTAAGTACAGAAAAAAACCAAGCCAACAGTATCAGTAAACTACACCTAACCTACAGATTCTCAAATTAATGAAGTTCCCAGATTGATCCAGCTTAGTGTCTTATTTCATCACTTCAACAATCATAGAAAGTTCAAGACTCTTATGAATTCCTTAAACATTTATTTCGCTTTCTAGACTTTTTCATAGCATTCTCAACTGTTTCCACTAACATGCTTCGAAAGTACTAAATGCCCCAAGTTTAAACATAAAGAAAATTGAACCTTAACTTTTGTCAACTTTAAGCTACATTTTTTTCGTTGGTCTACATGAGAGTTAAAAACATTTTTACCTTCCCTACATTTATCTCATATGCTTTCAACTACCAAAGCCATCTGTCCAAGAACTATCTACTTGACAAAGAGGACACCATGTTAAGAACAGATTCAAAATGGACCCTCAAGTGAAGAAGTCAGTTACAAAGAAATTCATCTGTCACTAGGTGTGGTTGGGGTCTGCAGGGAGAAGCACCTTTGCCCCACTCTAGAGAACAGGAAGGGTGCGTGCGCCAGGGTGCGGGGCGCCCCTAAAAGAAAAAGCCCCTAATGATTACAGACTGAACCCGCAATAAGAGTTGCCGTCGAGGCGGGCCAGCTAACCTACAGCTCGAGGGGTGCGGCGTAAGAAGGGCCACTCTGTCTGCAGCAGCCGCGGAACCCGCCGAATGGTGCTTCGAGCGCCGCGCGCCCCACTTCACCCCAAACACCGCGCCCTATCAGACCCTTCCTCCATGGTTCCGCCGCCCCTCGGATGCGCGGATGCACACTGTTTTCACGCTCTCACCCAGCTGCCAGGGTGTGGGCGCGGAGAGTTCAAAACTTCCAAATTTAAAACAAGTCCAAGATAAGACTCTACCGGCCAACTCTGGTGCCAACAAAAACGCTGGGTAAAACAACCGCCTTCTCTAGAAAAACTTTGTGGCAAGTTAGGCGGAAGCGCTGAATGGCCGGGACTATTTAACAGGCGCTTCCTACCACAAGAGGCGGATCCTTGGAGCTATTCGCAGGACCCTGATGACCCACAAACCCGACCCCCAAGCTGGTCCTCTAGAGGCCCCGACATCCTAAACTATCGGGATGGCCCCGCTAAAGGAAATACCTGTCATGGTCCCCTTTGCTTGCGAGTCCCTCATGACGGCCATTACTCTTCCATCCGGGTATTACGGGAAGCCGATCGGAGCGCTACCGGGAGTGCACAATGTGGCGGAGGAATTTGCACTGCACCTGAAGAGAGCGGAAGAGAACGGAAGCCGGCGGGGTCCGCGCGTTAGCATGTGGAGAGTAGGCCATGGAGTTACTGCTAACTTCTCAAATTAGCGCGTTTCCCTGTCTGTTGACGCCCCCTTTGTTCACCAACAGCAGTTGCAGAGAGCCTAGTGGCAATAAAATGACAGACAAACGTCTACTCTATGCTCTTCACTGTAAACGCACTAGCAGGAACTGTGTGGCTTGGCGACCCCTTACTAACTAGGAATAGCCTCAACCCTGAAGTTTGAATCACTTCCGGGTTAGCACAGGGTGTTTTCCCGCCACTGGCTTCTGACAGGCAAGTTTTAGCAGTTATTGAAGCCTGGGTCAACGACGGAAGCTGCCACTCCAACTCTTAAGATACATACTGAACTTAAGAATTGTACATATTTAATAATCTTTATAGCGAGAAAGGCTCCCATTCCCATCAAAGGTATCCTGCCACATCACACTTCAGAGCTGGAGAGTTTCTACATGGCTCCTCTTGAGAGGGTTTTTGAAATTAGTCTATTATTGATCTTAACTAATACAGAAATTATTTTGCTTTTTAAAAGGGGGTGAACATTGCAGGAAAAAAAAACCACCAAAAAATTTAGGGTAAAAAAATAAACCAATTTGGGGTGGTGAGTGGTACTGAGGATTGAACTCAGGAACTCATGCCTGCTAGGTAAGTACTCTACTACCACTGAGCTACATCCCCAATCCCCAAAATATTAAAAGCTCAATTAAGTTGAAAATACTCTTACATTTTTATGTTTCATGTTTTTAAAAAGTATTGTTTACACTTTATAATTTTACAAAATTTCAAAATGTGTATGACAAATATTTTTGCTTGTCTTAGATTGTGGTTTTGTAAATGTCAATAGGTAGCCTGACAAATTTTCTTTATCCTTCAGTAAAAGCCCTTGATTTTACACAATGCCACTGGAAAAACAAGTATAAACAAATCCATGATAGCCATACTTTTGTTTCTGCATAATACTCAACAAGAAATCTTTCCTAAACACCAAAAAAGACTACATTATAGAGTGAGAAAAATGTTTGTAAATATATCTTTTTTTCCTGTGTTGTACAGCATCCCTTTCTCACCAAGTCTTTGTTTCCATAAAAGCCAGATGCAGGCATTCACATCGCAGATAAAACAGAGACAACAGAATTTTTTTTAACAGTAAAACAAAGATGCTAGTTGGGAACATGGGCAGAGTTGTTTTCTATTTCACCTTGAGAAACTATATACCTCCCTCTCTGCAGTATTCATTTTATAACTTTATTTTATTTCTACATATATATTCACCTACAAAAACTTGCAAACCTGTATTTATGATTTACAGGAAATAGAGTGTATGTAAGTATGTGTATTAAATGACGTATTACTCAAATCTACCTTATCTACTTCCTCTTCCTCTTTCTCCATCCTTATCACATAACCCCCAACCATTCTTTTGCTCTCCTTTTAGGTTTTGAGTATTAAAGTGAGAAAAGACAAAGGAGGCAGGAAGTTGATTAAAACAGAAAAAGAAAACCTGTAAAGGAAAGAAAGCTGAGTTTAAGAATGGATTGTGAAATATATTGTGTTTGAGAAAGACATTGGAAATAAGGAATTTATTGTGCTTTCAAGTTCTAACTGCTATTTACCTTCTGAGAGCATTTAACTCTAGCTTTTTGTTGTTATGCAAAGAATAACACTATAAATTGAAGAATGTAACCAACTTCATTGCAGCTACAGTGTAATGCAAATTATGGAACTGAGGATGATGGTGGAAATAGTCGCAGTTTCCATTTTGATTACAAACCTCTTTTTGTTGTTTAACATATAATTCATGGATATTGTATCATAAAGCAGATCATTATAAAACAAGGAAATTTTTCCTGCAAATAATATACAAAAAGAGAATACGCTTCATTGCAACCCTGAACTATATAACATCATGGCATACTGAAGTTCCAACAAGCTTATATATATATTTACAAAAGGGGTAAACAAGGTTTTAAATCATAGCTTGATACTAGCTATTATAAGCACTGTAATCAAGATGAAAGGAATTACTTTATTAACTTGGAGAGTAAGTCTCTTAAAATTAATCTCTTCTCAACTCAATGCTGCTCTCTCAACTCAAGCCCACATTATTACACCTAACAATGTATTCTAGTGCATTTGGAATTGGGAAAAAGAACCTAGATCATCTGGCATAAATGTTCACACTTCTCAATCAAGAATATTATAGGTTAATTACTCTTGCCGATCAATCAGGCAAATGTCAATTGAGCTTCAAGCAGTATCCTTCCCAAGGTTCTTTTTTTTTTTTTTTTTGTACTGGATGGAGATCAAACTTGCAACCTCACAGTTGCCAGGCAGGCACTTAAGCTACTGAGCTAAATCCCTGGCCCACCAACGTTCTTTTCAATATTATTATTTAATATTTATTCAGCTGACGCATTCTTTAACATTGTGGATATGCCACAGAGAAAGCATGTGAATAACATTAAATACACCAAACCAGCCAGCGTTGCTATTTCAGAACAGGCAAGGTGGAAGAGAATAGGTGATGAATTACCATATAAATTGAAAGTGTGGCCCAGAGTTCAGTAAACGTATGCCAGAAAATATGCCCTCTTGACTTATACAGAGGCTATATCAATATTGAGTAAAGGATTAATATATTTCTGTGTAGGAAAAACCTGATATGAAACTATTTTCTCTAAATCTCTCTCAAGTGTCCAAGTAATTATGAGCACAAACACTATAACAATGAAGGGAAATTGTTAAAAAATTTCATCAACTAAGAGCAAATAATATTAAAATATTAAAAATTAATTTCTCATTAGTTGGAGAAATATTTTATATGAAGAACTAAAAGAATTATTATCGTGATCTGTGAATTAAAGCTAATCAAATAAGAAATAACTGCTCACAATAAAGTGATGGGAAGAGTACATTGGCAACAGTGCTCTGCAGTAGCTTTGCAATCTCTGGTCGCTCCACTCTGAATTTCTCTCATCTGACACTCCTGAACTCACCCACAAAGGGACACACACTGAGATCTGTTTTCAACCCAACCCAAACACACATCTGAAAAAACACATAAGTTCCCAAAATACGGAAAGAAAAATAATATCAAACTAAACAACATATACTTACTGAAGAATACTATTAGAATAAAGAATATAAAATAAGCATGAACACAAACTTAACTGAGGTAATAAATCAGCACACAGAGTAAGAACCAAAAATCATTGCAAAAATCTAGAAATACTATGTACAACTGTGGCTACAGCTGAGAAACAACTCAGTATAAGAACAAATTAGGAAACTTTCCCAAAAGGACAGAGAAAAGCATAATAAATGCTAAAGGAAAGAAAAACAAAAACAAAACAAAAAATAAAGAGAAGAAACAGAGGACATAAATTATCTGAAAATAAGATACATGAGAGTACACAAATATTGAGGAAGAAAGTTTTCCTAAAGTGTTATATGGGTTTCAAACAGTAAAATACAATAAAATTCATACTCTATGTTACAGAGAAATTTGAGAATATGAGTAACAAAGACGCAATTCTAAAAGTTACCAGAGATATAAAGAAAAGATCATTTATTAAGGACAAGAATAAGAGTGAAAGCATATACTACCATGGCATCAGAGATTTTATTTTCCCCTGGCAATAGTCACGGTAGAAGTGATCAAAACATAAGTTTTCTTTCTTTCTTTCTTTCTTTCTTTCTTTCTTTCTTTCTTTCTTTCTTCTTTCTTTTTCTTTCTTTCTTTCTCACATTCATCTTTAATGAAAGAGAAATTTTTCCCAATACATTTCTCTTTATATATCTTTATATTTCATTCATCACTCACCTCCAAAACAGTGGACTATAAGGGAAGTGAAGATAGTTCTTATTAACTCAAACCAATCATGATTTATATCCTAGGATGGAGCAAATTGCTACTATCATGGTTTTTGTCTGTGTCCCCCAGGCCTCATGAGTTTGAATTGTGCATTTGTTATTTGTTCAGCGTCTAGTGCTTGGATTGATGGTGTCAGTGCTCCACCCACAAAGGGGTGGAGCCAGGATGTGATATAATGACAGGAAGAAGGTGTCCCTTTCTCTTTGCTGGTTCTAGCTTGCTGTTTGCAGCCACCATGAACTGCAGCCCAGCCATACCTGCCTGCCTTGGAGCTAACTGAGTGTGGACTAAAACCTCCAAAAAAACTGTAAGAAACCTTTCCTTTCCCAACTTTGGGCATCAGGTATTTTGTCTCAGCAACAAGTAAAAAGTAACTAAGACAGAATTTGGTACCAAGAGTGGGGTCATATGCTGTGACTACACCTGACCATGTTTTTCAAGA